CTCTTTCCTCCAGTGCACACATCACTCCCTCTGTATATGTATACATTGTTCCTTAGCTAATTCCTCTCAGTCCACACATCTCTTCTACATAATATATGTATTTAAAGAGAAAAACCAGGGCTTCCCAGTGGTTCAGTGGTTAAGAATCCGCCTGCCAAGGCAGGGCACATGGGTTCGAGCCCTTGTTTGGGAAGATCCCATATGCTACAGAACAACTAAGCCTGTGTGCCACAACTACTGAGTCTGCACTCTAGAGCCCACGGGCCACAACTGAGCCCGTGTGCCACAACTACTGAAGCCCATGAGCCTAGAGCCCGTGCTCTGCAACAAGAGAAGCCACTGCAGTGAACAAGCCCGTGCACCGCAAGGAAGAGTAGCCCCCGCTCCCTGCAACTAGAGAAAGCCCGTGCTTGCAGCAAGGAAGACCCAACACAGCCAAAAATAAATAATTAACATAATAATAATAATAAAGAGAAAAACCACAAGCCCAAATGGCGTCACTTTTGCTAAAGCCCATGGTACAAAACCTAGATTTAATACCTGACCTAATTGCAGTTTCGACCTTTACCGGGAATGTAATCTTAATCAGCCAGTTTGGAAGTTTCTGCTCAGCAATAATAATAATCTGTCACATGGACCCTCTCCATTCCCCACCCCATCCCGCCCCAGGAAGAAGATGCAGTCTGCATGATGAAACCCTTGCTGTCACTTCCCCCCACAGAAGAAGGTGTCCTGGCCTAAAAATAATCCTTTCTATTCTTTTATTAAACATCCCTTGCTCCCCACTTCTTCCTATAAAACCTTCCATTTTGTACAGCCCCTCAGAGCACACTTCTCATTGCTAGATGGGATGCTACCTGATTCAGGAATCGGATAAACTGAATTAGATCTTCAAATTTACTGAGATGAATTTTGTTTTTTTAACGATATACATGAACATTATGAGATATTATTCACATACCATACAATGCACCCATTTAAAGTGTTACAGTTCAGTGTTTTTTAGTATAAGCAGAGTTGTGCAGTCATCACCACAGTCCATTATTGAATATTCTCGTAACCCCAAGAAGAAACTCTTACCATTAGCAGTCACTCTCCCTTCCTCCCCAACTCCTCAGCCCTAGGCAACCACTAATCTATATACTTTCTGTTTCTACAGATTTGCCCATTCTGGACGTTTCATATAAATGGAATTCAGCTCTCTTTTTGGCAACCACTCATTCAAGGCCCCCTCCCCTGTTTCCCCTGACTGTGTTAGATCCCATGGTATAGATTCTTAGAGCTCCCTGCATTTCTCCAACACTCTTCTAATTACCACTGTAGTTCCCTCTTATTCACCACTTTAATCCCAGAGCCTAGCACAGTGTCTAGCCCATAATAGGTATCTGATAA